GCCAGCACCTCGGCGCAGCAGCTCTCGGAGCAGAGTAAACAGGGCCGGCTCCCCTTCTGACCGAGGTTTGGAGGACCCACACGGGTCCCCAGCACAACTCCTGAGGCCAGCGCAGTGGTTGTGACGGCACCTCGGCGCGGCAGCTCTCGGAGCACAGTAAACGAGACTGGTTCCCCTTCTGACCAAGGTTTGGAGCCCCGGGAAGGCAAAGTCGCCTATTACTGACATAAGAAGGAAGCCAGACAGGAGACTCCTGGGCAGAAAAGCACCATCAGTCTTAACGCCGCTGTTCTGGCCCTGGGAACTAACAACTTGGACGTCCACTCAAGAGACCTAATCTGAAAGTAGGTAATTTCAAAGACAACAGGAGGATAAATTTACAATGGTGGGAAGAAACCAGCGTAAAAAGGCTGAGAATACTCAAAATCAGAACGCCTCTCCCTCTAAAGATGATCACAGTTCCACATCAACAATGGAACAAGGCTTGATGGAGAACGAGCGCATCCCAATAACAGAATCACGCTTCAGGAAATGGATAATAAGAAACCTCTGAGTTAAAACGATCCAAGTCATTTTAACGACTAAGAAGCCCAACATAAAGAAACTAAGAACTTTGAGAAAAGGTTTGACGAAATCCTATTGAGAATAGACAACTTAGAGAGGAATATAAGTGAATTAATGGAATTGAAGAATACAATACAGGAACTCCGAGAAGTATGCACTGGTTTAAACACTCAAATTGTTCAAGCAGAAGAAAGGATATCAGAGGTCAAAGTCCAACTTGATGAAATAAAATGAGAAGACGAGATTAGAGAAAAAAGGATCAAAAGGAATGAGCAAAGTCTCCAAGAAATGTGGGACTATGTGAAAAGACCAAATTTACATTTGATAGGTGTACCTGAATGCGACGGAGAGAATGAATCCAAGCTGGAAAATACCCTTCAGGATATTATTCAGGAAAATTTTCCTAAACTAGCAAAGCAGGTCAATATTCAACCCCAGGTAATACAGAGAACACCACAAAGATACTCCTCAAGAAGAGCAACCCCAAGGCACATAATCGTTAGATTCACCAGGGTTGAAACGAAGGAGAAAATACTAAGGGCAGCCAAGAGAAAGATCAGGTTACCCACAAAGGCAAGCCTATCAGACTTACAGCAGATCTCTCGGCAGAAACTCTACAAGCCAGAAGAGAGTGGGGGCCAATATTCAACATCCTCAAAGAACAGAACCTTCAGCCCAGAATTTCATATCCAGCCAAACTAAGCTTCACAACTGAAGGAAAAATAAAATCTTTTATGAACAAGCAAGTACTCAGAGATTTTATTACCACCAGGCCTGCTTTACAAGAGCTTCTGAAAGAAGCATTACACACAGAAAGAAACAACCAGTATTAGCCTTACTAAAAATATACCAAAAAGTAAAGAGCACCAACATAAAGAAGAATTTACATCAACCAATGGATAAAACAGCCAGTTAACATCAAATGGCAGTAACCCTAAATTTAAATCGACTAAATCCCCCAATCAAAAGACACAGCCAAAACCCAAGGGCATGTTACATCCAGACCTGTTTCACATGCAAGGATACACAAAGACCCAAAACAAAGGGATGGAGAAAGATGTACCAACCAAATGGAGAGCAAAAATAAATAAATAAATAAATAAATAAAAAGCAGGAGTTGCAATTCTCGTATCGGATAAAATAGATTTTAAAGCAACAAAGATATAGTGGTAAAAGAATCAATGCAACAACAAGAGCTAACGATCCTAACACCCAGATATATAGAGACTTAGATTCAATGAGACAGAAAATTAATAAGGATATCAAGGACTCGAACTCAGATCCAGAACAAGTAAACTTAATATTTATAGAGCTCTCCACTTCAAATACACAAAATATACATTCTTGTCAATAACCACATCACACCTACTCAATAGGTGTATATGAAACATTGAAAAAAAAAAAAGAAACATTGATTGGCTGTTATTAATACCCATTTTTTTTCAGAATAAAGCAATATTTCCGTTCACCCTCCCTCTTTCTCTTCCTCTTTCTTCCTCTCCTTTACTATTTTTTTTCTTTCCTTCTCTCAAAAAAAGAAAAAAAAAAAAAAGAAATCAACTTGTAAACCTCTAGATCCAGGTCGGCATGGCTTGATTTCCTTCCTTCCCTTCCCTCCCTCTCTCCCTCCCTCCCTCCCTCCCTCCCCCCTTCCTCCCTTCGTTTCTTCCTTCCCTTCCTCCTTCCCTCCCTTCCTGCCTTCCTCCAAAAAAAAAATTAAAATTAAAATTAAAAAAGGTGATCAGAAGAGCCATCACTGAAGATGACACCTGAGCAAAGACCCAAAGGAGGTGAAGAGTGAACTATGGAGGAAGCGCCTTCCTGGCAGAGAACAGCAAGTGCAAAGGCCCTGGGGCAGGGAGGATGATTGGGGATCATTCAAGCAACAGCAAAGAGGCCAATGTCGAAGGAACAGTCAGCAACAAAGAGTGTAAAAGGAGGTAAGTCAGAGGGCACAGTGGGTGGGGGGACTGGGTAACTCCCCAGGAGCTGGGAAGGCACTGGAAGGTTTGCAGCTGAGGTGAGACAGACATATGACATTTAAAATGATTATTCTGGCTGCTGTAGGGAGAAGAGACTAACACCAGCAGAAGCAGGGACCCTAGCCAGGAAGCTAATGAAATCATCCAAGTGAGAGATGACAGTGGCTTGCGGACAAGCAGAGGTTGTCTAATTTTAAATAAGGTGGATACAACCTGGATAGATTCTGAAGTTGTAGTTACCTGAAAGATTGGTGCAGGGTTTGAGAGGAAAAGAAGAGTCAGAGATCTCAAAGTTATTGGCCTGGGGAAGCAGAAACATGAAGCTACCTTGAACTGAACAAAGGAAGAAGTGATTATATCAGATCTGGAGACAAAACATGGAGTTTCATTTCTTATTTTTATTTTATTTATTTATATTGAGAGAGTCTCACTCTGTCACCCAGGCTGGAGTGCAGTGGCGTGATCTCAGCTCACTGCAACCTCCACCTCCCAGGTTTAAGTGATTCTCCTGCCTCAGCCTCCCGAGTAGCTGGGATTACAGGGGTGTGCTACCATGCATGCCAAGCTAATTTTTGTACTTTTAGTAGAGATGGGGTTTTGCCATGTTGGCCAGGCTGGTTTGGAACTCCTGACCTCAGGCGATCCACCTGCCTCAGTCTCCCAAAGTGCTGGGATTACAGGTGTGAGCCACCGTGCCAGGCCTGTCTGATTATTTTAATTTATAGTAAGACTTTAAGTCAGGCAGAGTAGCTTATTTTGGCTACCCTAGATCCTTTGTTGCACATGCATTTTAGAATGAGCTGATTTATTTCTACTAAAAATCTGCTGGGATTTTTATTGGAGCATGTTGCTTCTATAAATTATTTGTGAGAGAAGTGACATTTAGAGTTGTCCAATCCATAAATTTAGTGATCTCTTCATTAATGTAGGCCTTCTAATCCCTCTCCATGATATTCTGTAGTCTTCATTATGACAGACTCACACACCTGTTGCCAGATTTATCCTTAAGTATTTCTTATGCTACTATAAATGTTACTCTGAATTCGATTTCCAGTTGTTTGTTGCTGATATATACAAATACAACTGCTTTTGGCATATTCGATTTACATCTTGCAGCTTGCTAAATTCACTTATCAGTTGTAGTAGCTTTTTTGTAGATTTCATCAGATCTTTTACATAGGCAATCATGTCATCTGAGCATGAAGACAACTTCGCTTTTCCCTTTTTAATCTGGATGTCTTTTATTCTAGCCGTACTGGACACACTGGAACCTCTAGTACAATGCTGTGTAGAAGTAGTGAGGCTGACATCCTTTCCTCGCTTCTGATATTAGGGGTGAAAAGCATTTAATCTTTTATCATGAAGTATGATATAAGTTGAAGGTTGTTCATAGATGCCCTTCATCAGGTTGAGAAAATTCCCTTCCATTCCTAATTTGCCTATCAGAAACGGACATCAGATTTTGCCAAATGCATTTTCTGCATCTATTGAGATGATCACAGGGATGTGTTATTGATTTGCTAAACTGGGTTTGCTAAAATTTTCAGAGCCATGAGGGATGTTGGTCTAGTTTTCTGTTCCTGTAACGTCTTTGTCTGGTTTTGGTATCACATTGACTTCGTGGAATGAGATAGGAAGTGTTCATTATCTCCTTTTCTATTTTCTGGAAAGGTTGTACAGAATTAATATTATTTCTTCCTTAAATCTTCGGTAGAATTCACCCATGGAGCAATCCAGGCCTAGAGTTTTCCTTGTGAGAAGGTTTTTAACTACAAACTCAGTATCTTTAACAGATTTAGGGCTATTTAAATGGTTACTTTTTTTTTTTTTTTTTGAGACACAGTCTTATTCTGTTGCCAGGCTGGAGTGCAGTGGCATAATCTCAGCTCACTGCAACCTCTGTCTCCTGGGTTCAAGTGATTCTTCTGCCTCAGCCTCCCGAGTAGCTGGGACCACAGGCAAGTGCCACCACGCCCGGCTAATTTTTGTATTTTTAGCAGAGATGGGGTTTCACCATATTGGCCAGGATGGTCTTGATCTCTTGACCTTGTGATCCGCCTGCCTCGGCTTCCCAAAGTGCTAGGATTACAGGCGTGAACCACCGCACCCAGCCTAGATGGTTACTTCTTGACTGAATTTTGATAGTCTGTCAGTCAAGGAATGTGTTTCTTTTAGATTACTGATCAATATTCATTTATTACACTTTAAATATATTTAGAATCTGTATGATGCCATCTCTTTCATTCCTGATATTACCATTATTGTCTTCCCTTTTTTCCCCGATCAGTCTGGGTAGAAGTTTATTAGTTTTATTGTTCTCTCAAATAACTAGTTTTTGGTTTCATGATTGCTATACTGTTTTTCTGTTTCCTTGATTTCCACACTGGCTTTTTCTTCTGCTTAATTGACATTTCACTGGTCATTTTTTTTCTAATGTCTTCTTTTTTTTGCGGGGGGTACCAAATTTCTTTATTTGAAGAAATGGTACAGAGAACTTAAGTGGATGTTTTGGTACAACTTATAGAAAGGGTAAAGGAAACCCCAATATGCATGCACTGCCTTGGTGACCAGGGAAGTCACCCCGTGGCTATGGGGAAATTAGCCTAAGGCTTAGCTTTCATTATCACTGTCTCCCAGGGTGTGCTTGTCAAAGAGATATTCTGCCAAGCTAGATTGGGGTGCTCCCATCTTGCCCAAGTTGGTCAAGTGGTCACCCAATTCTTTGATGGATTTCACCTGCTCATTCAGGTACTGTGTCTCAATGAAGTCACACAAATGAGGGTCATTTTTGTCAGTGGCCAGTTTGCACAGTTCCAGTAGTGACTGATTCACATTTTTTTCCAAATGTAATGCACACTCCATCGCTCTCAGCCTGCTCTCCCAGTCATCATGGTCTGGTTTCTAGATATCCCGAAGGAAGATGCAGCCACCTCGTTGGTTCTGCAGCTTCATCAATTTCTCTGCGTGTTCCCTCTCCTCATGAGATAGGTGAAGAAAATACCTGACAAAGTTCTTGAAAGCCACATCATCGGGTCAAAGTAGTAAGACATGGACTGGTAAACATAGGAGACCTAGAGCTCCAGGTTGATCTGGCGGTTGATTGCAGGCTCTGAGTCCTGGTAGTAGTTGTGGGGCACCTGCGAAGAAGATGCGGTTGTGGCGGCGGTGGCTGCGTGACGCTAGAAAGGCGGCAGGGGCCTTGGGGCGGTCGGAGGGCGCGGAGTGGAGGTGACAAGAGAGCTGGCTGTGGGCGGCCAGCCGGGGTGGGGAGGAGCGCCGGTTCCGTCCAAGCAGTTGAACAGGAAGCCGCGGGGACTCTCGGCGAAGAACGTCTCTGTAATTTCTTAAAGTGGGACTCCAATGTCATTGATTTGGGACCTCTGTTCTTTTCTAATACAAACGCTCAACTTAAAATGTGGTTACATCCTGAAAAACCCATCAGAAAATTGAAAAATGTAAGTTGAGACGTCATAAGTCAGGGACCATCTGTACTATATAAATTTCCCTTTGGCTCCATCCCACAAATTTTATGTGGCACTTTCACCTTCATTCAGTTCCAGATACTAACTTCACTTTTGATTTTTTTCTTTGACCCATGATTTATTTAAAACTATGTTATTTTCCAAATTTTTGAAAGATCTTCCACATACCTTTGTTATTAATTCCTCATTTAATTCTATGTGGCCAGAGATCATAATTTCTACAAATTGAATCAGCTTACATTTACTGAGGCTATTTTTTTTTCTTCAAGACGGGGTCTCACTGTTGCCTAGGCTGGAGAGACACACTGCAACCTCCCCCTCCCGGGTTCAAGCAATTCTCCTGCCTCAGCCTCCTGAGTAGCTGGGACAGGCACCCACTACCACACCCAGCTAATTTTTTTCTATTTTTAGTAGAGACAGTGCTTCACCATGTTGGCCAGGCTGGTCTTGAACTCCTGACCTTAGGTGATCCACCTGCCTTGGCCTCCCAAAGTGCTGGGATTACAGGTGTGAGCCACCATGCCCAGCCTACTGAGGCTTTTTAAATGGCCCAGAAAATTATTTGCCTTGGGAATAGTTCCATATGTACTTGAAAAGAATGTGTATTCTGCTGTTTAGGGGCAAAATGTTTTACTGAACATCAATTAAATCAAGTCAGTTGATTATACTGTCCAAACCTTCTCTATCCTCGATTTTTTTTATCCACTTATTTTATCAGTTTTTGAGATAGTTGTTAAATCCTTCAACTATAATTATAGACTTGTTTATTTATCCTCAAAGAGTCTGTATTTTGAATCTGTTAATACATGCATAAATATTTAAGGTTATGTCTTGATGAATTTATCCCTTTATTATTATGAAATAATTCTCCTTTATCCTTGGTGACATTTCATTTTAAAATATAGTTTGCTTAATACGCCACTAAGGTTTTCTTTTCATTAATGTTAACATATTAACATCTTTTTCTACTCTTTTGCTTTAAACATATTTGTATTTTTATATTCAAAGAATAATCATAGACAGCATATAAATGGGACTTGCTTATTTATTCAATCTCACAATCTCTGCTTTTAATGAGGATTTTTTTTTTTTAAGATGGAGTCTTGCTGTCACCTAGGCTGGAGTGCAGTGGTTGTCATCATAGCTCACTGCAGCCTCAAACTCCTAGGCTCAAGTGATCCTCCCACCACAGCCTCCTGAGTGGAACTAAGCCATCATACCTGGCTAATTAAAAACAAATTTTTTTGATATAAACGGGGTCTCACTTGGCTTCCAAGACTGGTCTCCAACTCCTGGCTTCAAATGATCCTCCTAACGCACCTCCCAAAGTGCTGGGATTACAGACATGAGCCACTCTGCCCAGCGCTTAATGATGAATTAACTATTGATAGGAATTTTAACCTGCCATCTTGCTTTTTGCTTCTTATTGTCCCATCTGTTTGCTTTTCCTGTTTTCTTTTTTTTTCTTTTTTCCTGACATCTTTTGGATTATTTAAAGATTTTTATCACAACTTTTTATAGACAAGTATTAGCTATAACTCTGCTACTACAGAGTTTATCATATGTATCTTTAACTTATCACAGTCTACCTTCAATTGACATTATACAACTTCACATGTAGTGTAAAAAGCTTAGGAGAGTATACTCGTTCTCCCACCCCCAGTCTTTGTGCTATTGTTGTCACAAACTTTACTTCTATGTAAGTTACAAATGCTACAATGTGTAAATTACCTTTAAGACATATCTTTTAATAAGAGGCTGAAACAAAAAGAAAAAATATCTTATGTATTTACCCACAGTTAAACTCTGCATTGTCTTCATTTCTTTTTATTGCTCCGCTTTTCTTTTATTTATTTAGACAGAGAGTCTCACTCTGTCACCCAGGTTGGAATCAGATGGTGCGATCACAGCTCACTGCAGCCTTGGACTCCCTGCAGCTCCAGTTTTCTACCAGGTATCATTTTCCTTCTGCTTTAATTACATCCTTTGATATTTCTTGTACTGAATATCTGTTGGTAATAAATTCTTCCTTTTTTAATGTCTGGAAGAGACCTTATTTTGCCTCCATTTTTGAAAGGTATTTTCACTGAGAAAAGAATTCTAGGTAGACAACTGTTTTCTTTCTTTGCTTTAAAGATATTGTTCCACTGTTACCTGGCTTACGCTGTTTCCAATAAGAAATCTGGTGTCATCTTGAACTTAGGTCTTAGGTATGTCATGTATCTCATCTCTTTGGCCAATTTAAACCATGGTTTTAAGAAATTTGCTTAGAATGTGCTTTAGTATATAGTTTTTCTTCATGTTTCCTGTGCTTGCAGTTCCTTGAGATTCTTGGATCTGTGTGTTTACTGCTTTTATTACACTTGGAAATTTTTCAGCCATTTTTTTCTTTTTCTTTTTTTTTTTTTTTGATCCCTCATGCCCTCCCTTCCTTCAGGGACTCCAATTCTACAAACATTTGGCTACTTGATGTTGTCTCTCACTTTATGTGGTGTTCATGTGTTTTTTCAGGGTTTCTTTTTTATCTGTTTCATTTTAGATAGTTTCTATGGATAAAAATTTCTTCAAAATCACAAGTCTTTACTTGTGCAATGTTTATTCTGACAGTCTTCATTCAGTATATTTTTCATCTTAATAAGTTCATTCATTATTTTTTCTTTTTGTTTTTGGAGATGGAGTCTTGCTCTGTCACCCAGGGTGGAGTGCAGTCGTACAATCTTGGCTTACTGCAACCTCCGCCTCCCGTGTTGAAGTGATTCTCCTGCCTCAGCCTCCCATGTAGTTGGGATTACAGGTGTGCACTACCACACCCAGCTAATTTTTGTATTTTTAGTAGAGATGGGTTTTCACCATGTTGGCCAGGCTGGTCTCAATCTTCTGAACTCAGGTGATTCACCTGCCTTGGCCTCCCAAAGTGCTGGGATTACAGGTGTGAGCCACCACACCCAGCAATCATCTTTTATGTCTTTACTTAACAGTCAATCTTTTCTCTAGCTTCTTGAACACATGGAATACAATTAGAATGACTATTTTAATGTCTGTAATATCCTACTTATATCATCTGTCTCATTTCTGGTCAGTTATTGGTTGTATTTTTACTACTTCTGCTCATACCTAGTAATTCTGGAATGGCTGGCAAACATTGTGCAATTTACCACACTGGGTCCTGGATAGTTTTGGAACTCTAAAAAGTATTCTTCAGCTTTTTTTTTTAAAATGGTTTGATCTTTTTGGTCTTATTCATAAGCTTTGCTAAGAAGGACCAGAGTAGCATTTATTCTAGGGTTAATTTTTGTGATGTTTAACCCTAGAATATGTGCCAACTTGACTGGGCCATGGGTGCTCACAGCTATACCAGGTTAACATGCTTAAAATTTTACTGACAGAAAGTAAATCTATATTTGACCAGTTAAGCTGGTTTCTTTTTTTTGACCAGTTAATTTGATAATGAGAACTGGCTTGCCAATTTATATAAATCTGCATCTGCAAAAATTTTAAAAATTATAATTGAGGCTGGGCAGGTACAGTGGCTCATGCCTGTAATCTCAGCACTTTGGGAGGCCAATGCAGGCAGATCACCTGAGGTTGGGAGTTTGAGGCCAGCCTGACCAACATGGAGAAACCTCATCTCTACTAAAAATACAATTAGCCAGGCATGGTGGCACATGCCTGTAATCCCAGCTACTTGGGAGGCTGAGGCAGGAAAATCGCTTGAATCTGGGAGGTGGAAGTTGCAGTGAGCTGAAATCACACCACTGCACTCCGGCCAGGGAAACAAGAGCCAAACTCCATCTCAAAAAAAAAAGAGAGAGAGAAAAAGAATCCATTGCTACTGTGGGAAGAGGCCTGGAGAACAAAGCCAAGTATAGCATACAAAGGCATGGCAGGAATACTAAGGCATAGTTGCCTTATTTCATCCAGATAAGAAACCATGGCAAAGTGCTGCAGGATTTTCAAGAAGCAGAAAAAGCATGCAGGAAAATACCACTCAATCTCATGGCATGCCTCCTCTGCACTTTCACTATCTTGATAGTCAGAATAACTTTACAGGAATATGTTAGATTCCACTGCAAGCAATACCTAATAACAATCAGTAATACGGCTTTGCTAAGTCCCACACTTATTATGGTCCAATGTCTTTCTCTGCCTTTTATTAATAATGTCCACAAAGTAAATTAAACCGTAGTCGGAGAAGCAGAGCTTTCACTTTCATATATGGGTGTGGGATAGAATGTTGCCAAATTGCAAGGCAGAGAGACATGTCTCAAACACTCAAAAGGCCAGGAGAAAAAGCTATGAGAGAATATTTAACAAACTTAATAGTGAGTGAGTAATTAAAAAAAAGAAAATTTTCTTATTTTGTTTTTCAATAAGCAAATGTTATCTTTGTAATGAAAACAATTTCAATCAAAAAGTATTTAACAGAAGAAGAATTAAAAACTAATCTTTGCCAACGACTACTATTTCTTTTGGAAGCTGTATAGATTCTGACCTGCTGAAGAAATTAAATCAAGGAGGGGAAGGGGAGATAAAGAGAGGAAAAAAATGAAAAGGCACGTGGTGCCGTCTCTTGATGCATTGCTTAACCTTGAGAATGGGTCCATGTTATTGGAAACAGAAATGTGCACCTGGAATCACAACACATCAGCCATGGGAGAAGAAGATTATCCCATGTTCTTCTATTTGGCAAACTATTCCTATATGGAACATGTTTGGAATCACTGTAAAACACAGAAAAGGTCTTGGCAACAAAGATTTAAATGTTAACCAGCAAGTTGTTAAATATTTTGTATGGAGTCACCACCTAATACTTACATACAGAAGCCAGGCCTGGTGGCTCATACCTGTAATCCCAGCACTTTGGGAGGCTGAGGAGGGCAGAGCACCTGAGGCTAGGAGTTCAAGACCAGCCTGGTTAACATGGCAAAACCCTGTCTCTACTAAAAATATAAAAGTTAGCTAAATGTGGTGGCACATGCCTGTAGTCCCAGCTACTGAGGAGGCTGAGACATGAGAACTGCTTGAACCTGGGAGGCAGAGGTTGCAGTGAGCTGAGACCATGCCACTGCACTCCAGCCTGGGTGACAGAGCGAGTACTTGTCTCAAAAACAAAAACAAACAACAACAAAAAAGTATCCTGTTAGTAAGTTCTCCAAAGACAAGAACTAATTCTATGATAGAATATAACAAAACTAAAGTTTATTCAAAAAATTCTTTTTTGTTTTTTTGAGACAGTGTCTCAGTCGCCCAGGCTGGAGTGCAGTGGCGTGATCTTGGTTCACTACAATATCTGTCTCCTGAGTTCAAGCGATTCTCCCACCTCAGCCTCCTGAGTAGCTGGAATTACAGATAGCTGCCACCGTGCCTGGCTAATTTTTGTAGTTTTAGTAGAGACAGGGTTTCACCATCTTGGCCAGGCTGGTCTTGAATACCTGACCTCGCGATCCACTGGCCTCAACCCCCCAAAGTGCTGGCATTACAGGTGTGAGCCATGGTGCCCAGAAAAAAAGTTCTTAATGAGTTGCATATATGTTTTATAAATCCCTATTTTTTTTTTTTTTTGGAGATGGCGTCTCACTCTGTCACCCAGGCTGGAGTGCAGTGGCACGATCTCAGCTCACTGCAACCTGTATTTCCCAGGTTCAAGCAATTCCCCAGCCTCAGCACCCCCCAGTAGCTGCAATTACAGGCATGTGCCACCATGCCTGGCTAATTTTGTATTTTTAGTAGAGATGGAGTTTCACAATGTTAGCCAGGCTGGTTTCGAACTTCTGACCTCAGGTGATCCAACAGCCTTGGCCTCCCAAAGTGCTAGGATTATAGGCATGAGACACCATACCCAGCCTATAAATCCCTATTTTTAAAAGGTACGTTCATAAACATTTTAAAATAAAGTAATATAAACCTGTTTTAGAAAAGTCAGAGCAGGACTATTAATATCTTATTTTGTATTTCTATCCAGTCTTTCTTAAAGTTTAAATATTTTGGTATCACACCTAAAAAGATATGTCTATCCCACTTTATTTATTTATCTTTTTTTTTTCAGTCTTTCTAAAGTTCCATTCAGGTATATATTCCACTTTAAAACATATTGATTGTTTAATTAGTCCAGCTCTGGCTTTTTTGTTAAGAATTGTTCATGTTTACAAAGTGAAAAACACTCATTCTCTATTTTATTTGTTTTGTCATTGAGATTGCTAGACATCAGAGCTCCTTAAAGGGGAGTTACCTAAGCAACAAAATAATTTGGTCAGTTTTGCAAAATAAAGCAATCACTTAAATCTTTAAGCTACTAGGCTGGGCACAGTAGCTCACACCTGTAATCCCAGTACTTTGGAAGGCCGAGATGGGTGGATCATGAGGTCAGGAGTTCAAGACCAGCCTGGCCAAGATGGTGAAACCCCATCTCTTAAAAAATATATATATATTTAAGCTACTGAATACAGTCATCAATATATCATATCTGGACAGAGTGTAATTCATAAGTGTGATGACTTCAAACAGAAACTTCTAATCTGTTGTGCAAGGATGTATGATACTGTCAGCAAAACACTTTAAAAATTAAGAGCAAAGGAACAGCTACAAGAGGAACAGACTATTCTGAAACCACTTCCAGGAACACACTTTGTTTAAACAAAAGGTATTAAGTGAAACCAGCTGTATTAAGGAAAGGTCAGTGCCATCTGAAGTGGAATTCTAAAACCACACACTTCATAATATCAGGGTAATGTTCCTTCCTGTTTTATAAGGGAAATACTCAGTAGCAAACTAGCTACGGGACCGCAAGGTAAGGAGCAGTTCACCAATGGAAAAAAGGCCCAACTGTAGAGCAAGTGGATGCTCACAAGAAACCACTTAGGTCACACTAACTAGGCCAGCCAGCTTTATGCCTCCATGCCACTCACACCAAGCAGTGCTGAAGAAACGGGAAGGGACTCACTGGTATTTACGGCGCACTTTTGAGAGTACCAGAAAAAAGAAACCTGCAGTCAGAAATACTCAGCATATTCTCTATTTGAAAGCCAAGTGAGCCGGGCATGGTGGCTCACACCTGTAATCCCAGCACTTTGGGAGGCCGAGGCAGGTGGATCACGAGGTCAAGAGATCGAGACCATCCTAGTCAACATGGTAAAACCCTGTCTCTACTAAAAATACAAAAAATTAGCTGGGCATGGTGGCGCGTGCCTGTAATCCCAGCTACTCAGGAGGCTGAGGCAGGAGCATTGCCTGAACCCAGGAGGCGGAGGTTGCAGTGAGCCGAGATTGCGCCATTGCACTCCAGCCTGGGTAACAAGAGCGAAACTCTGTCTCAAAAAAAAAAAAGTCAAGTGAATCCCTTGTTCCTGGGGGAAGAGGAACTCTAAAATGCACACCTTTGTCATATCTAAAAACAAACATAAATCTCAAGAAAAGTAAAACCTACATTGCAACTAAGATTCCATTATTTAAAATATTTTTCCCTAACTTAGTAACAAAAGTATAAGAAAGAGCTTGCTCCTTCAAAGATTTTCTCGGGGTAACGAATCTGGGCCTCTATGAAGTCATGTAACCCAGTCAACAGTGATCGCCAGTTATGAAAGCATTTCCCAATGTACCACCCAATACAGCCAGTAAGACTGTAATGAAAACAATGCAGTTGAGAAACGCAGCCACTAATCATTTTATTTTGGAAACCAATTAAAGAATGATGAAGGAAGGAAAAACAGTGATTCATTTGTTTTGATAAAATCTGGCCTTCAAATGATCGAACAGGCCAGGAAATACACATATTTCTATGGTCTAAGGTGTCTTAAACTTGGCCTTTAAAAAAAGATTCTTCCAAAGCTTGTGAGTAAACTAAATCAGCTGGTTCATAAATCAAAGTCTCTTGACTATGACATATTCTGCTAATTTTATGGATGTGGGCTCACAGGTAAATAAATAAATAAATAATGACCTACCTACAGGCAGTTACAAAGTTGCAGCTTGCAATGTCTAACACAACAAGATAGCAATGTGTCACATGAGTCAATGGCAACAGTCCCCAACCTTTTTGGCACCAGGAACTGCTTTTGTGGAAGACGATTTTTCCACAGACTGGGGGTGGGGGGGTGGGGAAATGGTTCTGTGATGATTCAAGTGGATTACATTTATTGTGCACTTTATTTATATATATATATATATATATATATATATATATATATACACTTATATTTATATATTTATATATATATACATATATATAGTAATATATAATAACTATACAACTCACCATAATGTAGAATCAGTGGGAGTCCTGGGCTTGTTCTCCTACAACTAGACAGTCCCAGATGGGAGTGATAAGAGACAATGACAGAGCATCAGGCATTAGATTCTCATCTAATAAGGAGCACACAACCTGGATCCCTCACACACACTGTTCACAATAGGTTTCATGCTCCTATGAAAATCTGACAGGAGGCGGAGCTCAGGCAGCAATGAGCCAGATGGGGAGTGGCTGTAAATACAGACGAAGCTTCACTTGCTCACGTGCCGCTCACCTTCCACTATAAGGCTTGGTTCCTAACAGGCCACAGACCCGTCTGTGGCCTGGGGGCTGGGGACCCCTGATCTATGGGACAGTGGTGGCTTGGGTTTGAAACTGCACTCAATAACTTGGTTTACCTGCCTCTGTTAAAAAGCAAGCAACACTCATTACTAAAATTGCAATCAAAATGTGCAACACAGCTTGCACCAACTCTAGTTATTTCTCAGAAGAAACAGTCTGAAACTTCTAAAATGCATGGAGAGGGCAGAATCAGCAAATACCAAAAGTGTGAAGAATGTTCCAATTACAGGAAATCCTGGTTAGTATGGATACCACTAATTTAAAACTGATGATGATTGAGGCCCAAGTTAGACTTCACAATATGTATAAGGAAGAAAGGGGGCAGATGCTGGAGGAGTTGAGGAGGTGGGGGGCAAATAGATTTATGGAAAAAACTTTTAAAGAAATCCATCAATACTGACAGGAATACTAAAAATAAGCAAATTCCGTGTGAATCTTATTGGCTGATTGAAAAGTATTACCCTTGGCCAGGCACGGTGGCTCAGGCCTATAATCCCAGCACTTTGGGAGGCTGAGGAAGGCGTATCACATCACCTAAGGTCGGGAGTTCGTAACCAGTCTGGCCAACATGATGAAACCCTGTCTATACTAAAAATACAAAAATTAGCTGGGCATGGTGGTGGGTGCCTGTAATCCCAGCTACTCAGGAGGCTGAGGCAGGAGAATCACTGGAACCTCGGAGCCAGACATTGCAGTGAGCCAAGATCACGCCATAGCACTCCGTCCTGGGTGACGAGTGAAACTCCATCTCAAAAATAAAAAGTATTATCCTTTAGTGGCATTTAGGAAGCCATCACTTCATAGAGACAAGATGGTGTTAGTGATGGTGTTAGGGAAAAAGCATCTCATTAGAAACTAGAAAGCAGCCGCAAGGGTAGTTCTGGGGCTCTGCCACTTTCTAACTTAGTGGTCACTGGCAAGTCACTTAACCTCTCTGAGGATCTTAGCACTAGAGAAGGGACACGATCTGTCATCTCAAAGACATCAAATGAGATGTCATATGATCAAATTTGCCAAGTACAGTGACATAAACAAAAGGTATTATATTATTTCAACTATCTCTTGAAATACCCTACTCAACATTTTTCACGCATCTTAAGCCCTCTTATACCCAACCCCAGTTCAGTACTTCCTCTCCATGTGCCATTCGGGGCCCCAGGTCAGAAATCACATCTGACATGGCTCCTGGTGTGTCATGGAGAAATGGGGAGAACTGAAGGACTCATAGAACCACTAGGGGCAGAACAGGAAGGAAAAAAAAAAGCATCAAGAAGAGGAGGAGGCCGGGCGCAGTGGCTCACGCCTGTAGTCCCAGCACTTTGGGAGGCCAAGGCGGGTGGATCATGAGGTCAAGAGATCGAGACCATCCTGGTCAATATGGTGAAACCCTGTCTCTATTAAAAATACAAAAAATTAGCTGGGCACAGTGGCACGTGCCTGTAATCCCAGCTACTCAGGAGGCCGAGGCAGGAGAATTGCCTGAACCCAGGAGGCAGAGGTTGCGGTGAGCCAAGATCGCGCCATTGCACTCCAGCCTGGGTAACAAGAGCGAAACTCCGTCTCAAAAAAAAAAGAAAAGAGAAGGAATGAAATTAAAGTCACCCTGTCCCTGTCAACACTGCTGAGACTTACTTACGTTATCATGGGAGCTACCATGTGACCACCTGAAGGGCAGAAAGTAAAATCCTCCAGTTGAGCAAACAACTCAGTGGCAAGAAAAAGGAAAAATGACATATTAGCAATGGGAAGCTTAGAGTAAAGTCCTGGAGGCTGTAAGACTCAACCTAAGTAGTCCTGGTATATCCTGGCAAAAATGTAAGCCTTCTCCCAAAGTGAGCCCAAGGGGACCCGGTATCTGCTTCCTGGGTGAAAACATAATTCTGTTGCTCACTTGATTTCTTTCTTTCTTTTTTTTTTTTGAGATGGAATCTTGCTCTGTTGCCAGGCTGGAGTGCAGTAGTGTAATCTTGGCTCCCTGCAACCTCTGCCTCCCGGGTTCAAGCATTTCTCCTGCCTCAGCCTCCTGAGTATCTGGGACTACAGGCACGCGCCACCATGCTTCTAATTTTTGTATTGAACAGAGACAGGGTTTTACCATGTTGGCCAGGCTGGTCTTGGTCTACCCACCTCGGCCTCCCAAAGTGCTGGGATTACAGGTGTGAGCCACCATGCCTGGCCCTGTTAACTTGATTTCTTTCTTGCATGCTATCTGGGTTTAAGTCTAGGCTTGGTTCTGAATCAAGTGTGATCTTCAAGCAAGTAAATGCTTCTCTCTGGATCAACTTAATGGCTTCTTAAATTTTAAATCTTCCTTCTTGGTGTCATTTCCCTTCTCAAGGATGTCCTTTAGTGATGGTATTAGGGTTCAGCAAAGGGACAGAACAAATAGGATATATGTATATATGAAAGGGAGTTTATTTGGGAGAACTGGCTCACATGATTACAAGGTAAAAAATCCCAATATAGGCGGTCTGCAAGCCAGGGAAGAGAGAAGCTGGTAGTAGCTCAGTCGAAGTCCGAAGGCCTAAAATCCAGAGAAGCCAACAGTGTGGCCATTAGTCTGTGGCCAAAGGCCCAAGAGCCCCTGGCAAGCCACTGGTACAAGCCCGAGTCCAAAGGCCTTAGAACCTGGAGTCTTATGTTGAAGGGCAGGAGGAGTGGGAGGAAGCATCCAAAATGGGAGAAGGAAGGAAGCCAGGAGACTCAGCAAGCAAGCAAGCTTATCCCACATTCTTCTGCCTGCTTTGTTCTAGATGCACTGGCAACCAATTGGATGGTGCCCACCCACACTGAGGGTGGGTCTTCCTCTCCTAGTCCACCAACTCAAATGTCAGTCTCCTCTGGCAACACCCTCACAGACACACCCAGAAACAATCCTTCAACCCAATTAAGTTGAAACGTAATACTAACCATCACGGTGATGAATTCTCGGTAGTAAATTCTTTTTGTTTTCACTTATCTAATGTCTTTATTTCATTTCATTCTTATTCTTTAAAAACTGTTTTATGGCTACACAATTCTAGATTGTGTGATAATTAGATTTTCATTGCCAACTTTGAAAACACTGCTTCAGGAGTTCCACTCTTGGTATACAAAAGCCCCCTGGCATACTAATTGTGGTTCCTTTGTAAATTATCTGTCTTTTCTCTCTTGATATTTTTAAGAATCTTTTCTGGTTTTAATATTCTAGTTTCACAGGTTTACTGATATGGTTAGACATGAATTTCTTTCCTTTCTTTCTTTGCTGCTTTGGAATTTGATGGGCTTCCTGAACCAGATAATTTTTGTCTCTTATTACCACTCTTAGAACCTACTCCAAGCAAGGCCCCTACCCTAGATTCTATAATTTAAAAGACTCCGCCTCTCCCCATAGGGCAAGGGGTCTGAAGATCCAAGGACATGCACCCATCCTGAGTCTGACATCATATTCTAGGTATCCACGATCCAGGAATTCCCTACTTAATTGAATCTATGCCACATTCAGGGTTTTGCATGGGGCTTTTCCACGGGTCTATTATGAAAGCAGAATGCTGGGTAGGCACAGTGGCTCATGCCTGTAATCCTAGCACTTTGGGAGGTGAGACAGAAAGACTGCTTGAGGCCAGGTGTTCAAACCAAGCCTGGGCAACACAGTGAGACCAGGCTGGGTTTGAAAGCTACAAAAAATAAAAATAAAAATAGCTAGGCATGATAATTAGCAGTCCCAGTTACTCAGGAGAATTGCATGAGTCCAGAAGTTCAAGGCTATAATGAGCTATGATCAGGCCACTGTACTCCAGCCTTGGCAACAGAATAAAACCCTGCCTTTAAAAAAATAGATAAATAAAAAATAAAAGAAAGCAGAATGCACCAGCATGTGAGCATAGGCCAGAGGTGCCACCTAGAAGCATGCTTATGAGGAGTGTGAACAGAGCTTAGATATGCACACTAAGTATCTTCACATGTATGCATGAGGCCCCTCACAGCATGGAGAAAGCTGGGGGGAAAAAGACAAAAGGGCTGGGCCACAGGCGAAGGTCTGGCTCACTCTGTGCTGCTACGTGTCAGCACAGAGCTCTGTGGAGTTCAAGAACTCTAAATGTAAACCTCATCTTCTAGATTATCACAGAGACATATTTGTCAAGGTAGAAGTATAGACATATTTTATTTCACAGTGTGTCACATTTGTAACTTTTAAATATTTAGACATGGACTGTGGGCCTCCATTTAAACTGTTGTGCTACCTCCACAAATGACAGACAAAGGCCTGTTGTTCATCAATTATGAAGATTCTCACTCATCATCTGTTTCAATATTATCTCTTTGCCACTCTCTGTAGAAGCTTCTTCTGGAACTCCAATTAGACATAAGTTGGATCTTCTCACGGAATCTCTGAACCTCTCATGTTTTACATCCCTTTGTTTCTATAAGCTTCAGCCTGTGTTATTTCTTCAAACTTACCTTCTACTTCACTAATTCTCATTTCTGCTGTTTCTATTCTAATATTTAACCAGTCCATAATTTTTTTTATCTAAATGATGATGCTTTTCACTTCTGAACATTATATTTGATTTTTTAAAAATAAATTGCCTGGTTGTTTTTGATGGTATCTCTTTCTTTACTTATATTTTCATTTCCTTCCCTTGCTTCCCCAAAGGTACTAAATTAACTTACAGTCTACATTCACTATTTCCAATATCTGAAATTATGACAGGTTGTTACTATTGTTTCTACTGACTCTTGTTCATGATATTTTGTTTCTGTGTATGTGTGTGTGTGTGTGTGTGTGTGTGTATGTGTCTCTTTTGGTTCATACTGTTCGTATTGGCTGCAATGATCTATTGGAACTTTGAGTTAGGGAAGACTTAAACTTGCTTTTGTCAAGCACTCAGAGACAGTAAAAACTCAGGTCCACTTTAAATCAAGATTTCCAACTTGCAGCTATTGGAGGTCACATAAATAGTGTAAAACCAGTTTCTAAACCCATGTGGGAGCAGCTGGTCAGCAGCTACAAGTTCTCATGTGATTCTTTTTCTTTGCCCTCCACTCAAAGTGAAAGCTGAGACAGAAATATTCCTTGCTGGTTGAAACAGTGTAAAGTGCTTCTCCCCAGTACATTTTCTCTCTGATGGTATACCCTCTCTGTAGAAGCTTTACAAGAAATGGTCCTGAATCACTGATCGATCCCTTTCTCTACTCTACGAAAACCCAAGGCATGTATTTTATGTTTTATAAGGAGCAGATTAATTATATGGTCACAAAATGTCTCCCCACAGATGCTTTTTAGAGGTTTCAGGAAATCACAGGGAGAAAAAGGTTTTTTTTGTTGTTGTTGTTTTTTTAAGATGGAGTCTCACTCTGTCATCCAGGCTGGAGTGCAGTGGCGAGATCTCAGCTCACTGCAACCTCTGCTTCCCTGGTTCAAGCAATTCTCCTCCTGCCTCAGCCTTCCAAGTAGCTGGGACTATAGGCACCCACCATCACACCTGGCTAATTTTTTGTATTTTTAGTAGAGACGGGGTTTCACCATGTTAGCCAGGATGGTCTCAATCTCCTGACCTCGTGATCTTCCAGCCTCAGCCTCCCAAAGAGTTGGGATTACAGGCGTGAGCCACCGTGCCTGGCCACAGGGAGAAAAAGTTAGGGAAAAAAACAAAAAAACAAACGCAAGAGGAAAACTAGCAACTATCCAATGAAGGAACCAGACAGTACCTTGACTAAATAATCAAAATTAATATCACTAATGACAGGCACAAAGACAAGGCATCCAACTGGATGTAATACCATGAGAAAGATACAGCATTACTGTAATATCCTAAAACAGAAATGTCACTTCAATAATAACGAAACATCAAACAAACCAAAACTGAAATGTTCAAGCCAAAACTGAAAAACATTCTATACAATAACTGCTCCATGTTCCTGAAAAATACCAATGTCATGCAAGACAGAAAGACTGAGGAACTGTTCCAGGTTACAGGATATTAAAGATCATGACAGATTAATGCAACCCATGATCCTGGACTGGAGCCTACAGCTGAGGGGATAAGTGCTAGAAAGAGCATTACTGGGAGAATTGAGGAAACTGGAATATGGATTTTAGGTTAAATAAAAATATTCTATCAATGGTAAATTTCTGAAAGTTAATAATTATACTGTAGTTACATAAGAGAAGATCATTGCTTGTTCTTACAAAATACACTTGAAGTATTAAGGAATAAAAGGGCAAAATATTGTAAACTACTCCCAAATGATTCAGAAAAACAAATTTTACACCCATACACATATAGAAGGGGAGAAATGATAAAGCAAATGTAAAGTGGCAATATGTTAAAAATTGATGAATCTAACTAAGTAAAGGAAATGTAGGAATTCTCTATACTATTCTTGTAAATTTTCTGTAAGTTTGAAACTATTTCAAAATACAAAGTAAAAAAGGGGTACTCAAATGTAAACCAATGGTAGATGTGGAAACAAAGAAACTATAAACAGTATTTGTATTAGCAAACTGCATGGATCTGTGAGGAACCTAAATTCTATTTTACTTACATAATTCTGCTGAGGGACAGGTGAATAAATAGCGCTCTGTATCCTTGCTTAAGATACAGAAAGCCATAAGAGAACATTACTTTCAACCCAACGAAAAGAAGAGGCCAGATAATCAACAAAATCATAACTTTTATTGAGCTAATCAGAGATCTGAGGCCAAAAGGCAATCAGGTGAACTGAATTCTAACAAGTGACAAATCCCTCCAAGGAGAAATGTGACATGCAAACCTTGTGACCCTTCACAGAGCACAGGAGGAAGAAAAGGCTGCCATGTAAACAGGTGACAGGAAAACAGCTTCAATTGTAATGAATTCTTATAAAGCTGAGCATGGGCTACTGTAACACTAGCATTCCTGGCTGAACTTACTTGTAAGCCCTTTTCCAAGGGCCACTCCCAGGTGCTCGTGAGGACAACTGGGAGCTGAGCACGAGACTGCAGAGAGCACCCCTCAGTACTGAACTTGGGTAAAATCCTGCCTACTTCCTGAACCCCTCTCTCAGACCTAATGCAAAAACCTTAATCCACTGGAGGGAGGGCAAGAAACCTACCCTATCCCCAGGACCCAGGCAAAGATCTACTGCTCCTGGGGTGAGGTACCAGCAAATATCATCGTCTGCTGGATTCTGCATTGATAGAATGCAAAAGTCAGCTTCGGGTGGGGGCTGGGGGGAACATGGGAAATTCTCTCTTACATAAGAGCCCCCACCACACATACACAGACACACACATATAAGGCAGAGTCCAGGTGGCATGGAAGGTGGACGCATGCAATGCTAAGAAAGCCCTACCCTGAAGTCCAGGCACATAGTACCTGCCTAAGATGAAGTCAGGACTAAGAGAACCAAGAAAGTCACCACCCTTACCATGGGCCCAGCTCCAAGTAAAGAGCAACAGCAGTTCACCACTAGGGCAATGGCACAGGCCGGCTACAAGTAAAAGGATGGGAAAAGGTGTATTATGCAAGCATGATCAGAAGAAGGCTGAAGTGCCTATCAGACAAAGTAGACTCAGAGCAAGGAATACTGCTGAGGATGAGGAGAAAGAGCAGATAATGATAAAGAGATCAATTCAACAAAAAGGCATGATGACCCGGACCAAGATCAGAGCTTCAAAAATACAAAAAGAAATAAAAGTCGTGATTTAGTCCTTTTAATTCTGACCAGTTATTCCTACACTTCTCTTCCATCCTTATTGGTCCAAGATTTTTTTCACTTATTAAGTTACTATATCATAAGTTATTAGTTTAAATTAGTTTAAACTGTTTAAACAGTTTAAATTGGTTATTATTTAAACCTAATAACCAATTTCAAAGTGTGGTATATCTTCACTGCAGTACTGTTTATGTGTTGGCAAAGTCACTTAAATGACCTTCTATGACAGGTTGACAGAGATGGTTACTGCATTAGGGAAGGAGGAGGAAATGACAACATCAGAGCTTCATCCAGACAGAAAGATGTAGAAGGGTCTAGCCCTTCCCTCACACATCAGAGAACGAAGAGGAGGCAAACAGTCAAACATGTATCATCACTTCCCTGCCCGTGAATTCCAGGGAAAAGAGTAATGTACCAGTCAGGAGACAGAAACCACGTCAGTCATTTCAATAGGGAAAATTTAATAAAAGAATTGTTAACAAAAAGTAGATACTGCTAAAAGAGTGTTCTGTGTTTTCGTAGATTCTGTATTCATCTATTTGGCATCCATTAGTTTAATCACAAGGTCAAACTCACAGCCAATGCTGTTTTCTGTCTCCCCTGCCACCCAGAGCCCATACTCTGAACCACCTCCTTATCTAATCCTCACACACAAAGCCAATATTTCTCCTACCCTAAATCACACAGAGCTAGGAACCAGACAATCAGGGAAGGCCCTATGCCCCAGGGCCCCCAGAATTATCAAAAATAGCCAATCCTAAGCTGTTTCCCTGGCTCTGTCTGGCCTTTCCCACAGAAGCCCAACAAAGACCCTGGACTGGGCTTTCCCCCAGCTCCTTTCTGCTCCTGTGGATGGTGCCTCCCCACATGGCTGTGTGGTGTGGCATGGCATGCTCCCCTTTTGGAAATGTAATACAAATTTTATTTTATTGGCATTAGTCTTTCTGTGCCATCATGCAATCACTTCCACAGGTTAAAGTCCCACAGGAGATTTTTTTTTTTTTTTTTTGAGACAGAGTCTTGCTCTGTAGCCAAGACTGGAGTACAGTGACACAATTTTGGATCACTGCAGCCACCACCTTCCAGGTTCAAGCAATTCTCGTGCCTCAGCCTCCCGAGTAGGGGGATTACAGGCATGCACTACCATGCCCTGCTAATTTTTGTATTTTTAGTAGAGGCGGGTTTCACTATGTTGGCCAGGTTGGTCTCAAACTCCTGACCTCAAGTGATCCACCTGCCTTGACCTCCCGAAGTGCTGCGATTACTGACGTGAGGCACCACACCCGGCCAAGATTTTTAACAAATAACAGAGGGATAAAAGAGGACACAGGGGTACAGAAGTAGCAAATGAGCAAAGTGTCTACTACTTAGAGCCAAGGAAGAGTGAAGAGGGAGGAACTAAGAACTTAGGAGAGCCTCCTCCAAACCCAAAGCTGAGATTCAGACTATTCAGAGATGGCATAGCTCCACAGGAACACAGCCTGTGGTGGCAAACATGCTTGTCACAGGGCGTGATCCAGAGCTGGCCCAGGGCAGCAGCCCACCACGTGGTGGAGAAACTCCCTGAAGGGTATGTGTAGTTGGAGATGATCCATGGTACCACCCAGTGGGCTGTCTATGATGGCTGCTATGTATTTCTGGGGTGTCTTGCACACCAGTCCACTGATACTCACTCACCAATGAAAATTAGCACAGGAAAGGATGCCCTCCTCCTACCATGGCCTTGCAGTGTCTCTCCAGCACTCTGTTGACAAAGCCTAACATCTTGCCAGCTGGCAAAGGAAAACCGTTGACAGAGTCCAGTTCCCATGTCATGAAACATGGCAAAGAAGAATGGATTTTGAGATAACAAGCAAGAGACTGAAAACTAGCATAGGTGGAGGGAGGGCAGACTGATCGTCAGGTTGAGGGGAAGGTACTGGGGCTATTGCCCCACTTCCTAATTGAAACTCTAGGAGAAGACCACCTTGCAGATGCAACCTTCCACCCTTCCCAATATGGATGGCTACAGAATAAAATGGTGATGTTGCATGGCCTGGTAAGGCAGAGGAAAGAGCTGAGTGTTAGCACGCTCAGACTCCTGTAGCTTTTTCTGAGAGCCATGACATCTGCCACCGGGTGAATGTACCAAAAGGAAGCAAAGACAGTTCCTTGGCCCTGATGGAGACAAAAGAAAAAAATGCAAGATCACCACACACCTCAGGGGATACCTGCAAAAGGCCCAGGGACCAGATCAGACCAGACTAGGTGAGCTAAGGCAAGCAAGCATAGGCAAAGGCCTCCCTTGCTGCCACAAGATCTCACAATCCCCCAAGACCAAATGCTGGTTTTTAATGGGGACGGCAGGATATGTGAAAAAAAAAAACCAGAATTTACCCAAAAGATACTGCTTAAACCAAAAGAATATAAGACCTTATTAACTAGCCAAAACACCATTCTTTGCTTCTCCCCATTTCTAGATGATGACTTAGGAAGAAGACAGATTGGTGATTTTTTTTTAATACTGTAATTTCTCTGCACAGCTAAGTAGTAGTATATAAACCTATAACCCCACTATATTACTATATGTCTTAAAAAGGGCAGGAGTTCAGGGGACAAAAAAACCCAGAAATTTGTATATTCATAGAATATTATACTTCTTCTTTTTTTTTTTTTTTTTTTAGACGGAGTCTCGCTCTGTAGCCCAGACTGGCGTGCAGTGGCGTAATCTCAACTCACTGCAACCTCTGCCTCCCGGGTCCTAGTTCAAGCAACTCTCTTGCCTCAGCCTCCCGACTAGCTGGGATTACAAGCACGCACCACCACGCTCAGTTAATTTTTGTATTTTAGTAGAGATGGGGTTTCACCATGTTGGCCAGGCTGGTCTTGAACTGATCTCGTGATCCACCTGCCTCGGCCTCTCAAAGTGCTGGGATTACAGGCGTGCGCCACTGAGTCTGGCCAGAATATTATTACTTCTTCAAATTGAAGATGCCACGCAAGAGGTGCCTTTATTTTATGTATCACTAAATCATGTGCCAATTAAACCGGAGCATTCTATTGCTTTTAAGATATACCCTGATTTTAGAGATTTTTTTTAAAGCTGAGAAATAATTTTAGAATCAATTAAAGTAGCCCTGAAGAAATACAGAAGAAACTAGCAAGATGGGACTTATTGTTTACTGAATGCCTTTTTTTCGTTGCTTGAATTTCCTTACCTTGTGTATGTTTTCTTAAAAACACACATGCACAAATTTCCATAGTGTTCACCTTAAATTCTGTCCTTAGAATACAGCCTTGTCATTCTCCATCTGAGGGGAAACCTTAAATTCCTACCTAGACACCTTCTAATTCCAACAAATATTTCTAATTCACAGCCACTTACATTCAAATCCAAATGAAATCTATTGCTCTACTACTTTGCATATCAGGATATATCCTTTTGGTCCCCCATTATCAGAATACATCTTTATGAACTGGCAAAGGATGCACTCCCTAAAGCTGTTGTGATTACTGCCAAGCTAACTGTCCAAGCTAACAAAGCGTAAACAACCACAGCTTCCATCTCAACAGCTCTCGAGAGTTCACAACACACAGTTGATTTAATATTCCACAAGAGAGTTAAACTTAATACTGGGTGGTTGGTTTTTATTTCACAGAAGTCTTCAGCTCCATGAGTAACTCCACAGGCCATCTAATCCATCTTAAAGTCATTGAATAGGTCATTTTTTTTTTTTTTTTTGCGATGGAGTCTCACTCTGTCACCCAGGCTGGAGTGCAGGGGCACAATCTCAGCTCACTGCCAAGGTTCAAGCAATTCTCCTGCCTCAGCCTCCTGAGTAGCTGGGATTACAGGTGTGTACCACCACGCCCAGCTAATTTTTGTATTTTTAGTAGAGACGGGTTTCACCACGTTGGTCAGGCTGGTCTCGAACCCCTGACCTCGTGATCCACCCACCTTGGCCTCCCAAATTGCTGGGATTACAGGCATGAACCACCGCGACCAGCGAATGGGTTATATTTAAAATATTACCGATACCTGGAAGATTGTGAATATGGATGGTACATCGAACAATGACACTGGATCAATGCCGATTTTCTTAAGTGTGGCAACGGTGTGATGGTGTAAGAGAGTGTTCTTGTTCTTGGCTAATGAGTCTATAGCCAACTTCCAGGCAGACTAGTAAAAAGGAAATGTTTCTATGTAAACAGAGATAGCAAGTGTTAAGTGTTGACGAATCTAGGTGATGGACATATAGGTGGTTCTTTGCACTGTTCTTTCAACTTTATAGACTTGACGATTTTCATTAGAAATGTTTAAGAAAATAAAGCAACAATAAATGCTCTTGGTAAGTACAATCTGTCCTTCTCAACATCCTCAGGGAACAGAATTCCACAACTTCCCAAGAAACCAATCTAGCTGCAGCATCTTAGTAAGGACAGTCACCACCATGGCGGTGGCAGCAGCAGCAGCGGCGGCAATTAACAGTTGCTGGGGCTCTGTGCAGGCATGCTAAGACCTTCAGTGCATTGTATCCTGGCATCTTCTCATTAATCCTATGAGGTAGGTGTCTGTTATCAACATTCACATCTCACAGGCATGGGAGCCAAAGCTTCAGATTGGTAACACGGTTGATGGTATGATCCCACCCAAGTTAAGGGGAAAGCCAGGATTTAAAACTGGGTAGACAAACTTTGGAGCCCACGCTCTTTACCCCACCAGTCTCTTTAAACTTGGGTCAGGATCCATTCTTAGTCATGAGATCCATACTGAGTCACAGCCTACATTTTTCAAAATGAAATAAAATAGAAAATATTGGCCAGGCACAGTGGCTCACACCTGTAATCCCAGCACTCTGGGAGGCTGAGGCGGGTAGATCACTTGAGGTCATAAGTTCGAGACCAGCGTGGCCAACATAGCAAAACCCTGTCTCTATTAAAAATACAAAAAAGTTAGCTGGGCATGGTAACACATGCCTGTACTCCCAGCTACTTGGGAGGCTGAGATAGGAGAATTGATTGAACCCAGAAGGCGGAGGTTGCAGTGAGCCGAGATCGTGTTACTGCACTCCAGCCTGGGCAACAGAGAGAGATTCTGTCTCAAAAAGAAAAGAAAGAAAGAAAATATCACTGTGCTCCACAATAAGGAAAAGCACTAATCCACAGACCTTCTTCAGCTGTATATGTACATATATGCATATTTGTGTATGTGATATGTATACATATATGTATGTGTGCATATGTGAATGCTAAGTCATAACGGAATATGTATTCCTCACACAGGTCACAATGCTTGAAAGCCACTGCATTTCTCCAGGCTTAACTTGCTCAGAAATTAAAAATATAAATTAAAAAAAAGCCACTGCACATTATTCTATATTACCTCCTCCTCTTCTTTCATTTCCTGCCCAGAAGCCTCACTGTTTAGGAGTCTAAAGGGGAAAGAAGCAATACAGATTTAGATGGTTAAGGGGAAAATTCCATTGGGAATTATCTAATCTCAAAATAAGTCAAAATAATATACTTTTAGTACACACTAATAGATAATAACGCAGCTGGCAAATCTGCTAATATAAAAGACATATTTTCAAGTAGGAATGTGGATTATCCCCTTGGTGTTTGTTATAGGAAGATGTTATCTGTAATTCTATTAAAAGATTATCAATTTAAAAGTCAAGCTGTAACTGCATATATAAATATGGCCAATGGTTGAAATTAGAGGAAGTTTCTTCTCTGGCAATTCTTCCCCACTGAAAATCCAAATGCATGTCAACACAACTGAGGGTCAAGAATGTTCAATTAAAACTATTCTGAAATTGCTGGAGAAGTCCAAAAGCAGCTAAGGAGTGCGTACGTGCATGAGGGTGGGGATGGAGAAGCCACACAGGGCAAGTGAGAGGTGGAGAGTTGTTGAAACAGTGCCCTTCCAAATCAATCACCCTACTGCATATCCTGTTTTAAAGGCTAAATGGGAAAAGCAAAGAAAAAAAAATCCACATGCGTTTAATGTCCGACATTAAAGGAGCGTTTTCTGTGAATTAATCTTACTATTACCAAATGAAGTCATAGGAAAAAAGTGCTATGTCTTTAAATCCATGGCTATTTTTCATTCCAAGTTTCTGTTTGGGGCCATTACTGCTCTCTTGGGACTGCATTGACTCACTGCATCTTCAGAATGACGCAAGTGAGGTTCTCTGCACAACTTCAAAACAGACTGACTATATCCAGCAAAGGCTGGCTTCGGAGCCAACAGACCAGTCAGGCACCCATTTGCAGAGTCGCTATGACCAGGCAGGAGATGGGAACATTCTCCTTATCTTCAATTTCATTAGGGTCTGATCACCTTCTTCAATGGGTAAAACAATTTGACCATCTGAAAATAATCTTCTTAATTTGCCCATCCTCTTCAGGACCACATTTCCACCTTTACTGCCCACTCAGAGTCCAATCTACTTTCTTGGACTTACTTGGTCATATGGTAAGAAAAGAATGGAAACAAGAATTCCAGCCCAGATGTCTCCAGTGCTGAGTATCCCAAACATTGTAGCTCCCTCCTGTCAACTTTTTATCTAAATAAAAGAAAACTCTTCCTTCCTGGTGTTGGCCAGCCAGAGGAGAGAGGGAGATGAGGGAAGTGGGAGGAGGAAGGGGACAATTCACCTAGAAATAGCAAGTACAAATTCAGATATGAGGTGAGCACTATCCAAAAATGAAAGTTGCAAGTTTTCATCCGGAGATGGGTCAGCTCCAGACAACTCCAAGATCAGCCCAATGTCACAAAGTAAACGTGGCTATATCTGCATGGCCTGGATCCATATAACTTCAGCATCACCTGGTTCACCATATGGCTTCCTCCCTAAAACAGCCAACAGCCAGAGGAAAATGTGTTTGTTGTTGTTGTGGTTTTTTTTTGAAGTGGTTCACATTAGGGCTGCTCACTTTCACACAGTGTTCTTTTTAAGAACATTCAAATTATAAAAGGCATCCATGGTACCTTGAGGCAGAGTGGCTCTAGTAATACAATGGCAAAGCAGCTGTAATTAATCAAACCTCTAGTAATCAAGCTGACTGTCAGGCTTGCCAGCAGGATCCCTCAAAATCAGATGCAACTTCACCATATTTCTGTCTAATCCTTACCAAGATAATAGCTACCTAAAAGCATCAAGAGTATGACATTTGTTTTAAACCCAAAGTAACTCCTCACGTAACAGGTTACTTATATGGCATATATGTTTGCTGTGTGTCTGTTTCTGGAGCAGCCTTGTTTGTTTAGTCAAGGCATTTCACCACCAAACTACCACTACCAATCCCCTTCCCTCTACAAATGTATAACCTCCCCCTCCTCAAGCATAGAGGGCTAAATGTAGAGAGGGCTAAACAGTATGCGGTCCTTAGCACCGGGGAAAAAGGACTTTAATGTATCTCAAGACTTTACAGACTTTGTTTCAGAAGTGAAATGTACTGTGTTATGCCATAAATCAGCAAGCTCTAATGTCAAGAAGAAAAATGGTGGGGGGCAGCACAGAGGCAAAAAGGATGGAATTTTTATAGTAAACAACCTTGCCATCATGAAAGATGACTGTTACTAAACTGTGCTGCTGCGTTTCCAGTATCTCTTTCTCCCTCTGTGGATCTTCGTTGCCATAACTACCATTCGAATCATCTTAACAAATGGCACACACATCTCCGGTGCAGTCACTGCCACTCTGTGACTCCAGATTGGCTTTCACTCACGTGGCAGCAGCTTAGGCCAAAGGCTGTGATCACCTCACAGCTGCAGGACTCTTCTGCGAACAAGTAATTAGAAACTGATTCTAAGACGACATTTTTTTTTAAGCCATAGTTCTTATCAACATCTAATAATATTTAAATCACACCTATCCTAATTCTCAATTAACTTGAAAGTTTTTCTTTCCTATTTGCCACAAATGTTTTCACTTTCAAGGAGAAAATGAAAAATTTGCAAAACATAAAAGGCCTTTTAAACAATTCTAAACAAGTTATAGATAATCTCTAAGGGTTGAAATACATTTGGCTTAATGGCCTGTGGTTTCTCTACCTGCAGGAATACCTAATATCAAAGGAATTGAAACGATGGCTCTGGGGTTCCGGGTCAAGATGGTGGACTGAGCACATGCGCTCATCCCCCTTCTGCCTGTGACCCCTTTAAATTACAGCAAAGGAGTAAAAAAGGTATAAACCACAACAATGGTGAGAACAGAAAGAAGCCGTCATCATGTAAGATATTTTACAAATTTGGGGGATCTGAAAATGAATGGGTAAGCATTGCTCGGCAAAGGAGAGCAGAGGAATCACAGGTGAGGAGCAAGCCCATCCGCCCCGAAGAACCCCAAACATGAAGATGGCAAGTGGAGCAGAGGAAGGGAGTGAGACACAGAGGGCGGGGGAAATCGGGGGATTATAAATCTGTATATGAAACGGCAGCCAGCCAAGACACACGCCTGACCCACTTCTCCACCTCCTCACCCCTAGCAAGGAGGGATCTTCTCTAAGCACATAAAGGAAGTCTGGAAAGTACAATGCAGTGTTTCAGTGTCCCAACACAAAGCCGTGAGAGGGTTCCTTGATTCCCCTGCTCACTAGTCCAATACTGAAACCAGCCAATGGACAACCCCACCCACACACACAGAACTCCCAACAACCCTTCCATTCCCACATTCTTAAGCATGAATGGACAATCGGGATTACCAGACTATTGAGGAAACTCTAGAGCATCACAGAAAAAGACCAAGATGAGCAGATTAGATAACTCTGAAGGAAACAGATAATTTAGGAAACTGGAGAGAATACAAAAATAAAAAAGCCGTAACTCATATCTTCAGAGAGACCCATAAAAATTATATGCCCAGAAATCAAGAACATGGTACTAGGAAAAGGATTTTTAAAAGAAGAATGAGCTGTGGTAGCTAAAAAGTATGACTGCCAAAATAAAAAATTAATGGGAAATAAATGAAAAATACTCAAGGAATCTCCCAAAATCCAGAAGAAAGACAAAGAACTAGGAAGACCAACGTTAAATTAGTAAGAGTAAAGAGGCCAGGTGCAGGGGCTCACACCTGTATCCCCAGCACTCTGGGGAGGCCTCAACAGAAGGATCGCTTGAGCCCAGGAGTTTGGGACTAGGCTGAGCAACACAGCGAGAATCCATCTCAAAATAAAACCAAAAGAAGAATAAAGAGCTCCTTTTAAAGAACACCCCCCTCATGACTATCTGTAGCTTGTCTGCACTACCCCTGCAACTCCCCCCAGCTCCTCCAGGGCTACCAACTTCACACGAGCCTGTCCACCAACAGGCAGTCCCCAAAGACCTCAAGAAAAGCGTCACCACAGCTTTTTTTTCTTTTCTTTTTTTTTTTGCTTGAGACAGAGTCTTATTTTGTCACCCAGGCTGGAGTGCAGTGGCACAATCTAGGCTAACTGCAACATCTGCCTCCCAGGCTCAGGTGATTCTCCTGCCTCAGCCTCCCAAGTAGCTGGGACTACAGGTGCATGCCACCATGTCTGGCTAATTTTTGTATTTTTGGTAGAGATGGGGTTTTGCCATGTTGGCCAGGCTGGTCTCGAACTCTTGACCTGAGGTGATCTACCCACTTCAGCCTCCCAAAGTGCTGGGATTATAGGCGTGAGCCATCATACCTGGCCTCACCACAGCTTCTTAGGTGAACTTGAAGCTCACTTAATTGAATTCACAGAGGATAGAATATTAACAGGACTCAGGACTCTAAAGTTACCACATGACTAATTCTCCACTCATTCCACTTTTTTTCCTCACTATTCTTTCTTGCATTGTAGACATTCTTCTTTTTCAGATCATTTTCTCTTTTTTAGAAGTATAAAAGTCGCTTTGTGAGAGTGTGCTGGAGGAATCAAGTTTTTGTTTATCTGAAAATGTCATTATCATGTTCTCATTACTAAATTATATCTTAGCTAAGTTTAAACTTCTAGGTTGACAAAAATTTTTCTCTCAGTGCTATTAAGATACTACTCCACTGTTTTCTTTCTGGTTTCCTTCGTTGCTGTAGAGAAGTCTCCTTTTAGTTTAATAGGGTTCCTTGGGAGGTCATCAGTTTCTCCCTGATTGCTTTTAAGATCTTCTTTTTGTCTTTGGTGTTCTACTATCCTTATATTTGAATATGGCTTTTTTTTTTTTTAACTCCACGTGGAATTTGCTCTGATTCCTGAATCTAAAGATTCTTGTTTTTCACTATTCTTGGAATTTTTTTTATCAATATCTTTTCAAATACTGCCTCTCATCTGTTATCTCTATTGTCTTCTTTTCTCTCTCCTTATAGGCTTATATTTTGGACTTCTGTCTCTCTATGCTGCCTTTTGGATAATTTCTTCAGCTTTACC